TTTAAAAAATAGTTCGCAAATACAATATTGACCAAAATACCCCCGAAACATTTCAAGGGTATTTTTGTCAATTTATTTCATGTAAAGTAGTTTTTTGATATTTTTATTAGATTCTCCTATTTTTGAAGAATACACACCTAAAATTTCAAGTGATTTGAATTTGTAAAAAAAAAAATTAAAATTCAAACACGAAATGAGGTCGTGATCGTCAGATCGGCCTAGACCGGCTAACAAGAAGATTTTCCATTATATAATATATAATACTTATATATATTATACAAAATGTTATATAATTAATATATATTATCTATCAATATAATATATATATATTATATTATAAAAATATATATTTATTATATTACATAAAAATACTATATATTTTATTATAGATGATATAAATATTTATTATATTATATGTAATGTATAATATAATATTTAAGTAAGATGTCTTTGTGAATCACAGACCTCAATGTTCTAAATTAATTTGAATGAATTTTAAAATTTTGAGTCCAACGGGGATTAGCCAATCCAAGAAACCACAGATAGTCTTATTCCACCTATTTTGGTGGAATAGCATTCACGTGGATTGGCCACTCAACGAGATTCAGCTATCCACGAAAGAATGTGATACCCAAACAAGGGAAGGGCCCAATACCTGGATAGCCTCATACTGGAGAGTCCAATCCAGGTACCCAAACAGGCCCTTAGATTCTAGAACATCCCTCCAAAGTTCTTGTGTGGACGTCATTTCGTGCCTCGTCAATCAAAACTTTGTCATCTGCGAACAACATGCACCTCAGTACCTCATCTTGTAGGTACCTCGTACTCATTTATAGCTAAGACAAAGAAGTATAGGCTCAATGCAGACCCCTGATGTCCGCCTATTGTTACTGAAAACTCACTCGTCTCTCCACTAATTTTTTGTACACTAGTAAGCGCTCCATAGTACAGATATCTCACCAAGTCGATGTAGTGTCTGCAAATTCATTTCTTTTCCAACACTCAGCAAATCAAATCTCGAGGTACTATATCATAAGCTTTCATTAGATCAATAAAGACCATGTAGAGGTTTTTTTCCTTCGCCCTAACTTCTCAATCAGTTATCTAAGTTGAAAATAGCCTTGGTCGTTGACCTCCTTTGCATAAAACCGAATTAGTTTTCTGATACACTAGTTTCATGCCTTAGTCGTTGCTCAATCAATCTCTCTCAGAGCTTCATAGTGTTGCTCAAAAGTTTGATCAATACTTCGGACAATTCTATATGTCTCCTTTGTTCTTGTAAATAGGCAGCTAGGAACCATTGTACTTTTCCTCCATTCGTCTTGCATTTTCTTTGTTCTCAACACCTTGTTGAACAGCTTGGTCAGCCAATCTCCCCATGCACTTCCAAACCTCTATCCGCCTCTCTTATCTTCATCTTTTTCAAAGTTTCCTTCGCATCTGATATCTTAATCTTACGAATGTATCTGTGACCTCCACCCTCTGTTATGCTAACAGTTCCTTTTACCGCTACGTTCTAATTGTGTTCGTCATTTAATAATAAGAACTCGATTATTAACCAGAACAATAGACAACATTTTTTTCCTTCAGGTTTCATGGGGTCCAAATGGTTGTCATTAATAATGATAAACCAGCTCAAAGGATTGACAAATACAGACCATTAGAGTCGGAGATAGAGTACTTATAAAAGGTATCAAAATGTTGGATCAGGCCATAGCTCAGTTAGATAGTGCTCATAGTTGACAATTCAAATCTTGCGTTCAAATTGAGCTTACCAACAAAAAACTAAAAAAATAATGAATATATTGCATGCATCTAAGCTGAATTGAATCTGTTTTGAAATCAACATTTAAAGTAGAAGATGACAAACGAAAACAAAACACTAGTCACAAAAGAAGTGTAAAGTAATGACAAACCAAAAACTATAGCACATTGAATGAAGCTGAAGACAACTCAATCATCAAAAGGAGTTTCCCCACCCAAGAGCCACAAGAAACAATACTGTCATACTATTATTACGAGATCAAAGTTCAACGCTCAAATCCGCAAAGAAAAAAGCTCGCTCATTCATAGTGCCTACCCATATCTTCAAGGATGATACCAATACATACTTAACAATACATACCAATGGATGAATGACAATACATACTTAACAATACATACTTAACAATACATACTTAACAAGACATATCTTCAAGGATGATACCAGTACATCCTTAACAACACATACCAATACATACTTAACAATACATACTTAATACATACTTAACAATACATACTTAACAATACCATACTTAACAATACAATAACACAACAATACATACTTAACAATACAATGCTTAACAATACATACCAATACATATTAACAATACATACCAATACATAACAATACATACCAATACATATTAACAATACATACCAATACATAACAATACATACATACATACATACCAATACAAAACAATACAATACTTCATACCAAGACATACATACATACATACTTCATAACCATACAATAACAATACCAATACATACCAATACATACCAATACATACATACCAATACATACATAACAATACAATACATAACAATACATACCAATACATAACAATACAATACTTAACAATATATACCATTACATAACAATACATACTTAACAATACATACCAATACATATCTTCAAGGATGATACCAATACATACTTAACAAGAACATATTACATATTTAATACAAATGGATGAATGACAATAGCTCACCCATCCCATAATACTTCATTAAGAAGAATCCATATCAATAAATCAGTACGGTGTTATTGGTCAGATATGATGAACATCATACAAATAAGAGATTTGTAGTCAGTCTGGTGGTTGGCCTTACAGATATCAGCAAAACAAACTACCACGCTTATTTAAGAAACATCACAAAATCTCATTCAATGAAAAGGTAGCAGATACAGTGTGGATATGATTATCCTGCTACTTAATGGCCTACAACATAATCCAGAGTTGAACTATTGAACTGCTTTAAAAAATGAAAAATTCAACCAATCAAACATTATCCAAGTGTTCCCTGATACAGCCACTCCATTGACACTTAGCATGACCAGTAATCAAGCAGCCAAAGGCAAAACACAGACAGTTTAACAGAAAGGGACACTCCCAAAACCTAAACGAGCTTCAGAATTTGAATCCAGCAAGCATGAAACAAAAGAACCAAAACGATTTTTCCAACTAATCCATCCAGTAAAATTTGCCTATCTGACCTTTGTGACTGAAACACCATTCAGCAACATCATATCATAAACAAGATATCTTCTTTTCTGCTCGCCAGTTTCAGGTACAGTGTCAATAATCATCTCACCATCAAGTAATGTCAAGTGATGAGTTTTGTCAGATGGACCCTGGGAAGCATATAACATTACAAAGCAAATGTGATAGGAATGATATCAGAAAACATATGCTAGAGAACACACGAAAGCGGCAATGAATATGGCAAGAAGGGAAAAAGGGATACACATACCTGATTGGAAGATCTTCTAGGAAACCGCAGCTGGACCCTCCGGAAACAAAATTTTCTGTCAATCAAATAGCATCCATCCAAAGTTATAAGCATCATATATCTTGTTCCATCAGCTTTCCATGTCGCATAGTAATATCTCTGACGAAGGAGCTGTAAATTCGACCTGAATCAAATAAAAGGTGTGAAATGGAAGAAAACTGCAGATCTAGAGCAGCATGTAGACATACAGACAGAGAGGTATATTTAAACATAAAATACATAAATATTCCTATTCCTCGAGAAGCAACTGCAATTCATAAAGGACAAATACATGTGTAACAATGTATAGAAAGGAATTTCTCCTTAAATTTCACTAAGGAGAGACCAAAAACCTAAAACGGGAAAAAATGTGCATGTTATTTTCTGAAAGCAAGGAAGCCGGCAAGTTGTAAGTTATCAGGGAAGTGGGGTTGCAATGCTTGTAGGATAAATTTGTTCTATATATACCATTAGAAACAACTTTCTTTCCTTTTCTTTTTCCACCTTGGTTTATTGCTCATTACATATTTAACAATATTTTGCCTTTTGAGAAGTAGTTACCAGTTTGCCAGTCAATGTAGACAGTGAGATACCAAGTAGTACTTGGAAAGCAGAAAAAAGGATAGTCATGAATATCAAGCAACAGTCCCGGCCACTGAAGTAGCAAAAATGTCATCAAGAATCCCATCAATAAAAAGGGTCCAATGGACAGTTAGTGGTCCCCCCATGAAAATAAAACATATATAACCAGCTAGAACCCTCCTCCTGTTGGGTAGAATGTGATCATTCAATAGGAAATGATATCAGAATAAAATTGGTCACTAGAAGCAGTTCAAATACTGAGCGTTTTATACATAATCAAAGAACTGCTGACATTGGAAAAGCAAGATGCATTGTTAGCCCAATGAAAATATCTCACGCTAAAGACAAGACGTACCAAACCCAACGTAAGTTTCATTGGTAAGGAGGAATCAAATGGATTCAGGGAAAGTCACCTGGAACGCATCATTAACATAGATCCATGCCATGATTTGTAAATAAACATACACTCAAGAACTCCACTGGACACGCGGATTGGCTGCTCTTACAACTTAATGAGTCCTCTGTTCTTGGGACAGAAGCTATTTGTTCGATTTTACATCCATCCCCTCATATGATTTCTAAAACAACAGAAAACTATCTTTTACACATTGTGTACACAAATGTAGTGAAGAATTTAGAAAAAGAAATCAAAGAACTGAAAATTTAATTGAAAATAATGGTAGCTTACAACCCAAGCTTCATAGTTTTCTGGTCAACTAGGCTGCATACACACTCGCACACGCACACACGCGCGTGTGCACACGCACACACGCGCGCACACACACACACACACACACACAAGAACCCTTGTATATAATAAAAGGACCCTAGGACCCTACTTATAACCCAAGAAATCCTAATCCTAAATAGAACTGATCTATGAACACACTGTTGAGGATCTGAGGAGATGACAAGATCTAGGACCGATCCATGAAGGGAGGGAGGACTTGGAGAGAATTTTTTAGGAAGATTTTAGGAGGCTGACTGGCCTAAACTCTTTGTTGTCAGCGGCTCCCCCAGATATAGGGACAAGGATGACAAAGGGATGCCATTGTGGAAGATTTCACTAAATAAAACAAAAATGTCAAGGGAGAAGGCATCTCAGAGTCTGGAAAAGATTGCAATCGGACAATCATCAGGTCCCAGTGCATTGTCCTTGCCTACATCAGAGATGGTTTTGATGTTTTTCTTTATCTTCAAACTGTATTTTTAACCATGCAGCTTTGTTCAAAGTGATAGTCAGGAAGGAGTGGTCATCCATGACAAGACGGGGATTACAGCAAGCTAAGAGTAGTTCTTAGAAGAAAGAATAATAGCAGCCACCTCATCCGATTCCTAAAAATGTTTTGATAGATAGAGATGTTGTCAATGGAATTTGGGAACAGGCTATGTTTCTATATCTAATCTTTAGGCATTTCACTCTTGATCTATGGTACCAGAAGATCTCCTCTTGTTTGAGAAGATTAAGGCACTCAGAGTTGGCTTTTCTTTTCTCGCTGAGCTAGTCAGAAGACAGAGTTCTAGTTTCTTCACCGGAGGATCACCTTGAGAAGGGAGGATTTTAGATAGGAAAAATTAACCAAGTTCAAACAACTCCAATTCTTGATGGAACATTTTTCAGTGGTTGAAAGCTTTCCTTTTTAGTCTAAAACCTACCCATCAGAAGACAGAAAAGGAGGACCACCAGGTTCTAACAAAGTTTGGTTCTAATCATGACAATTCGCACCTAAAGGGTTTCAGACCGAAGTTCATTGTGACAACATCTAAGAGAATGGGTTTGTGATCAGAGATAATTTCGGCTGCGGTATAGGAGTGAGTTCCAGGAAAGTTATCCTCCCTCCCTGAAGTTATCATAAATCAATCTAACTAGGTGAGGGTGGACATGGAAGAGTGATTACACCAGATGCAGAAGCGCCACTCAGAGAAATGTCGATAAGGTTGTCCAGGGAGATAAAGCCTAAGAATCCAATAATGCCGAGGATGATTCTCAAATTTCTGTAGCATTCATGAGCCCATTTGATGACATAAAAATCTCCACCAAACACCCAAGGTTTGGTGGAGAGAAAGCCACTGCATTTAACTCAGCCTAAAAATCTTGCCTAAGAGTGCGACTATTTGGGCCATAGGCTGCATTGAACTTCCAGAGGCAGTTAGGTCTCACTCGATAGAGAAGGAGAGGGACACCAAGTGGGTGCCCACCGAGTTGGAGATAAGGTTATGGATGGATGGGTCCCAAATAGTGACACCCAAGGCTCCATTTGCCTCTAAGGCCACCCATTGGCATGGGTGCCAGCACCAAATACTTCCGACAATAGCAAAAGGGCGTGTGGAAGCTTTGGTTTCAAGGATGTCGATGATCTATAGAAGCCATCATGCAAACTTGTAGCATATCTTAGGGCACTTTGAGAGACAACCTGCTCTAATACCAAGTGATGCAGTGAAGAATCTAGAGAAAGAAATCAAAGAACAAAAATTTTGATTGAAACTAATGGTGGAAGCTCACAAGCCAAGCATCTTAGCTCTCTAGTTTACCCTAGACTCCCAAAACAAATTATATGCAACTCTACTACTAAACCCTCAAGAAACATCCCTATTTACAATAACAGACCCTACATAAAACCTAAGAGATCTATATTCTAATTGAAATAGAAATCCTAATTAAAACAAAATTTATAATGACATCTTTCCCTTGAAAAACAAATAATTTCATAAGACCTCTAACTACTTCTCAAAGCAACCCTAAAATCCTAGAAATCCATACAATCACTTAAATACCCTAAAAAAATACAAAATATCTAGAATTTAATAAAAAATATTCAAAAATAAGACACAGCTGCTCCCACAACATACAACCCCTAGATGTATGACGAAAGATTTCGAACATATCTACCTTGTAGAACTAGAGCAAATTACTAATTGGCCATATTTTGAGGACACTAAGATGATAATTAATGTACACATATACTCATAGTCAATACCAAGATACTTCAGTATGCTCCTGTAGGTCATATGAGACATACAAGCTGATTCATAGAAATGACTACTATCCTCGAAAAATAGATGAGATTTTGTAATTTACTGACGAATGTTAGCAGTGTTATCAAGTGCGGATGCGAACTTGATGCAATGGGGGATCTGATGCGGAATGTGGCTCGATGCGGTCCCGAGGCAGGCGCAAATATGATGAAGCGATCAATAAATTTCTAAAAATAAAAAAACATGAATGTGTGATCTATGTGATAATAGAAAAATTGGTTATGTACTTCTCTCTAATATATTAGTGGTCCGACTTGCCTGATAGTCTAATAAAGGCATGGTATATAGTCTTACATGTGACGTAGTATAAAGTAATACATTCCATCCCAATAAAGTAACGACAATTAACAATTTCACATAACACTCAAAGGCCAAAAATACTTCACAACCACAGGTTTACGACCACCGCCACACAACCACAACCTAAATGTAACCTTTAAAACCCAAGTCCAAAGAAATTTCGGTGTCATGGACTTGGATTTAATCACCTAGGCCTTGAATCCTTCAACTTCTTGAATTTTCACTGGAAAACTTTCAAAATGAAGCTCAAAACAGTATCACACAGTCCACCAAAGATTCAAGAACAAACCCCAAATTTCTTTTCTTAAATTTTGGAAGCACATAAATTTTTTGGTTCTTTTTTTTGTTCTTTTTTTCTGAGTTCAATTCTTTTAAAACCATGGAAGCAAGGCCTTGGGATTTTTTTAGAGGTGCTACATACCACAATGCAGCCAATACGGCCGCATGTGGTCGATATGCCGCATATGCAGCTGCATCGCGAAATCCCGCATATGCCGATGGAGGCGATATGCCCAAGCCTGCATAATGCATTTTTTTTTTTTATGTTGTTAATTGTTGTATTGAAAAAGAAGAAGTGTACAAGGTTCAGAGAGAGAACCCACATACCGGGCCTATAGGTAAAAATAAGTTAACTTTGGTCAAGTAAACCCATACAAAAAATGAGAGGGGATTAAAACATTGCCCGTTACAAAGATGTACAAAAACGGAATAAGAGAAAGGTCCGTCAAGAGTAAAAATCTTGAGGGGAAGGACCAAAAAAATCACAAATGTACAAAAAGATAAGGCCACAGTCATGAAAGCGTGGTTCCCAAGTTCTTATAAGGATCCACGACCTATGTGAGGGCTCCATCCTTAGCGATCTGGTCCGCCAGGCCATTTGATTCCCTCCAAATATGCGATCCATGAGACGGTTGTATCCCTGCAAAGGTGTGAAATCTCATCATAAATAGATGCAAGATACCAAGGTCGTGTGGCGTCGCCGGCAGCCCAAAGAATTATATTTCGGGCGTCTCCTTCCACTAAAAGAGGTTGTTCCCACCCGGCTTCTAACATTTTGAGTCCCGTGAGAAGCTCTAATGACTCAGCTAGCTGGGAGTCGGCTTGGCCAATATACTTGCAGAAAGAGGTCGGGATGTTTCCATGGTGGGTCTCTAAAAATCCCACCAAGCCCGACAAGGTTGGAAGAGGAGGACATGTTCCCAACTTAGTTGGAAAGACACGGTTGAA